TTGACATTTACTGATATCGGATTAATCAACTTCAAAATTACTTTATACTGAAGTTATCTATTCCGCATCGTTATTGCATTATTTTAAGATTAAAATCATTATACTGTTCTGTAGTTCAAACATGAATTATTTGAGATTGATTTTGAAGGTTAGTGAAGTGTTATGTATCTGTGGGTCAACTAACTATAAAGAACAATATTCTTTAGTTCTACTGATCAAATCGTAGTTATATTACTGTATTATTTTTAAATAATTTATCATTAGTAATGTTTCAGGCCTCCAAGAGTCTGTTATTTGTATAAAAGAACACTTCTCTTTCTGCTATAGTATTAATGTAGTACTTTATTTACAAAGTAACTAATGAAAGAATCCCGAGGAAGCCCGCCCGAACAATTATTTATCACACAATCACTACAAAACAGTAATAATTAATTCTGTTAAATCAAGTAAAATTGAAGTATTTTTTATTGTACTTTCGAGATCCCATGCCCAGTCTTACTCCATCAACTTCCAACTTTCCGAGATGGCTCAATGATTTAATCTGCAGCATCGGTGAGCGGGAAGCCTTAGGTTTCGAGTCCTGACGATCGTGCATTTTGTACAACAGCCACATAACTTGGTCGAATTCAACCTCTGTCTGAGAGAGCATTCATGAGGGCACTACTTTGATCGGTAGTTCTCTTGGTTTCTCCAATCACTCCCCCACCAATCACTCTACACCGGAGCAGAACCATTACAAAACCGCTCCCGGAGCGCGCGCCATCTTTCCTTGCAGATTCTTGTCCGTCTTTACACATATATTTGTCCGAACATGCACTTACTACCACGCGTAGCTTAATATCAATTTCCATTTTGTGCCGGTTGGGACCGGTCGGTACAAACAGAGAATTGAGGACTGTTCATTGTGCGTTATTCCAAAAATGTGGTGATTCCGGAATTATATGCTTATTCCACTTTAAATAAGAGCGTCTGTATTTATGTTTTGCATACGTACGTAGATCGACATGGTTATGTTCACTGTATTGAATATCTTGCTTTCATATTTAGTGTCACTGATAACTACCATTGACGCAGTCCTTTGATCGGAACGAAATTAGCTAAGGTGGCATTGGAGTATGGTCAAAAGGCTTCACCTCACAATTTCTAGGCGCTTTCTTCATCGTACAAATACAGAAGTATTGATAAAACATAAACGCTAGCAGTTTGCAGTCCAAAATCTGTTAAAGCAAATAATGTGTGTTTGAAATATAAAACTCGTATTCTAGGACTACGATACTCCGAATCGTGACTTCTCATAAAGATAATTGATATATGAGCATCAATTGGGGCAAAAATTAACTTATCTCATAGATTAGAGTTCAAAAAATGCAAATGTTCAAATATTTATGAATATTATGCATTAGAAATTTATCAGAATACTAATAATGATGCTTTATGAATGTCGACATTTTCTGTAGGGGTGAACTAATATCAACACACTTTTTCTTTTTGACTTGCTTTCCTATAACATATTTATAGTTGTTTACGTTTTATTGATTGGCATTAAGTGAAAATTATAATGAATATAATGTATATCAATGCTTTTAATTTCGAAATCATTTAGTCCTAATGATAATCGTACATAGTTCAGTAATACATAGATGTAAAATTCAATACTTTCGCACAAATGAAAATTAATTATGAGGGCACATGGAATAACTATTTGATTTATTACTTGGTACATAATACGGTACGTTGGGTTGCAATGATGGAATATTACAATTTGAGAACTTGTTGGTAATTAATAGGGAAACAACCATTGAACGATTCTCGACGTTATTCAAGTTACAAAAAGTTACAAGGCTCAACCTCTTCTCGTAACTAGATACCATTAAAATCGATATTGAGTTTTTTGGGTATGCAGTATGCATGAAACTAAGTGCTAAATTTATCCGTTTGTAATCAGGGTAGCTTTATAATCAATTAAATATTATTATTGTATTTACTACTGAACATAATGATGTAGACATGAATAAAATTTTTAATACTAGTTATAAATGTAAGATTACCTCAATGCTGAGAATTCGAAGTATGTGGATATTAAATGAGTATATTCTTTGAAGAAAGACGTTATGCAGAACATTACTATTTAATAACGGTTTTTCGTCAATTACTAGGGGAAATTATTAAACGAATTTATGTCATTCAGATATTTTTGTAACCGAATGCCAAACTACTTTCCGCATTTTGCAATGTATATTCAATATACTAACAAGGGATCTGTCCCGATATTAAAGTTGTCGTCCCCCAAACGCCCTAGTTATGACGAGAAATGTTCTTATCTCCCTCCCATATCTATTTATAAGCCCATTTTCAGTCAGGCGGGAGCTGCCTGTGCAAAGCTCGGAGAAGGTGGGCTTATCGATCCCTATCTTCGAAGACACGGTGCAAAGCCTATCCATCTGCATCCCAGGCCTCGGCCAGGGCTCTGTCATCGGGCGGCCAGCGCCCGAGGCGGAGCCCACATCGCCACAAGAAGCGTTCGCTCCGTCCTACCCTATCCTGCCCCGCCCCAAACCGCCATTCACAGGACCGCTCCTCCTCACAATCCCCCGCCACGCATATCACACAGCTTGGCTTCGACAAGTCTTATCACCAGCACACATTATCTGCGACTCTCATACTCTCCTCCAAATTCGCGTGCACTAGCCCCTCTAACTCGTCCCGTGTTCCCCCTCTGCAGCGTTCTCCGTAGTTTGAACCATCGTGCGCCTTTCCAAACGTTTTTGTTTGTTTTGTTTCCAAACATTTGAACCAGCGTGCGCATTTACATTTTTGACTGGTTTTCTTTTTCTCTCCCTCCTGACCCGTTAATACCAGCCTACAAGTCCAACCATCTCTCTTTTACTAGCACTAACCTACTCCCTCCAACATACCCCTCCCCTAATTCTGGTGGCCTCGTTTTGCATCGCTTGTTCTATACCTTGATCCCTCAAGCCCACATCCATTTCTTTGCACCATGTCCAGCTTACCTTCGCGCCAACCATCATCTCAACTTCTTCTGTCTCGTTTTACTTCTCCTTCACCACACTTCTTTACCCGTCCCTTCCCCACTTCCATATGTCTCTGTCCTCTGCGCCCGCCCGAGGTTAATCCCCTTCATCCATCTTGTGTTTCTCACTCACTTCCCACGCCTTGCCTGGCTGGTCCCTCCGCCTCTCCACCTGGTTCAACTCCGTTTCCGCCCGCCTGACCCACTATCTGGTCACACGCCGTTTCCACTCCGCCCCGCCGGGTCCGTCCGCCCATGCTACCTGCTTTTTCGCGCGCTGCCTCTGGGGTCTTTTTGTGAACCTGGCGTCCCCGCATTCTGTCACCCCGTCGGCGGGCTACGACGATTAATTACGTGTCGATCAGCCCGCTTGCGTGGCACACGGGCTTCGCTATACAACCGTCTCGGCTTTTTTTCCTGCGGAAGAGCTCACATTGATTTTGGATAAAAGTCATTCCAACGGTACTTCATTTAATTGTTCGAATTCTCTAAGTTATAGATCCACAGTAAGGATCCGGGCCGAAATTTAAATTCTTTGTTTGCTTACTTTCAATAAAGGTTTTGAAAAAGACAATAAAGCTGAGGTGATAAATTCTACGATTCATTTCTATTTACTCCTATTTTCTCAAAAATATACTTCTTTACATTAAGTAACCTAATTTACCAATTTCAGTTTGACGATTTACCAAAACAACAGGTGAACCGTTTTAACACTAACTGGGAATCATCTTACACAACAGTGTTACACTCTAAGGAGTGTGCATCAATATGTAATTCCCTAGTCTTTCCATTTTATATTTCTGAGCATTACTTATGGAAACTGACGATTAGTAACTCGAACTTTGGAGCGGCCCACTGCAAGCTGGAAAGGCGAAACCGCAGCAGGTCGGTAATTCAGGCCCCACGGCCAGTTGGTGCGGAACAGAGGCGGATGGATATGCTCGTGCGAACGCCCACGCTGAGCCGCTGGCAACTGTCTCTTCCCATCTCCCACCTCCCGCCCCGCCACGCTGGAAACGACTTGGGAGCAGTCATACAGTAATTCTAAGAAACTACAGAGTCAAGTTAAGTGCGTTTTCAACAGTGCTACCTATTGTGTTAGTCATGGTAACGTGGAGAGGTCTGGGACTTCGGATTTGGTGCGTGGTTACGGGGCCAAACTCATGGATTTTTTCTGCGATATTGTTATAACAGGATTGTCCCTGACATGATTTTCGACATTGTATGTGCAAGCTGGTGAAAACATACAGCTTTCTATTTACGGAACCAGTGGTTCCGGGCGCGATAACTGCTAAGGTATTTAGTCCCTTAAGTGTGGGGTATGTTTTATCCTTGGAGGTAGCGGTGACCTTCTCCCGCTAGATGGCGGTATCTGGCGCCGAAATATGTGGGTTTTTCCAACTAGGCATCTTCAATCAGCGGGTCCCCGCCTTTGCAATAAGCTCCCGGCTGGTCTCCCGACTTACGTGGTAGTGCATGTAAGTGTAAGTGCGTGAAATGGGTGAGAGTATGACAAGGAAGAAAAAAGAAATATTGCGCAAGGTCTGCGGACCCTTTGTTACAGTACTGCTCCGGATTCACCTGTCCGTTGATTGGAGAAATGACGGGAAACTACCAACCAGAACAGCCGGCCGATAGAATTTTCGTCCAGACAGAGGCTGAATTCGACCTAGCTAGATATCTAGTATCAAAAAACCTGCTACTATTAGTAGTATTATAGTTCTCAACCCCTAGGACCACTCGGTGAATGGCGCTGCAGTGGCATCGACTTATATCTTGAACCTCCTAAGCCGGTATTCAACTTTCGAGTTGGATTTTTGTCCACAACATGTACATTAAATTTAACTCATACAATTATTTTAGAAGAATAAATATCAGAAATGTACAACTTCCCTAATACTTTATTGCAATAAATTCCAAGAACATATTCCTGACTGAAGCGCGACAGTCGCTCTGTCGCCGTGCTCACCTTCGGTGCGCAGCGAGCGGATCTGCGTCTCGAGCGGTCGCAGCGCGCTGAGCGGCAGGCTCTCGAGGTAGTTGCGGCTGAGGTCGAGCAGGCGCAGCTTCTTGAGCGGGCGGAAGGCGTCGCCCGCCACCGACGAGATCCAGTTGCCGTACAGGTGCAGCTCCTGCAGGCCCGCCAGGTGGCGGAACGCGCTCTTGGCCACGCGCGTGATCTGGTTGAACGACAGGTCCAGCACCTGCAGCGCGCGCAGGTCCGCCGGGAATTCCTCCAGCTCCTGGAAGGCAAGTTTGGTCATCCTCTTTTTTTAATTATTGGAAGGTAAAAAATAAACAATATAAAAATAGCATTACGTCATACAGCAATACTTTTATTTGAAATAAACAACAGATATGAAAAAATATTCATTTGTTCCAATATGTGTGAAAACAGAGTTCGCGTCCGTTCTAATGAATCCTACAATGAAATCGGCATTTATATAGTAGTACAATATGGGTATAGAACTGAATAAACATTTATTGTCGAAGATTTCAATTAATCACAAAATTATATTTTATATCATATTTGAGTTTGCGAATAATATACACGTACATTAAAGTAAAATTTAAAAAGATTTAAAACATGCAGCTTTAGCTCCTGCAAGTGATAACCCGGTAAGCGAATAATCTTTTGACAAACAGCTAAAGCATATTTAGATTTTATCCAATGATAAATCCTGTCATAAATGATGTTTATCCCATTTCAGATCTGATTCAAATATAAGAAATTGTTACCCCTCTTCAGATTATCCCACCTCCCACTTTAGATCCGATTCCCACATCCTTATCCTGCGTAAATTTTGTGTTATAGCCCACGTTAATATTGTAGTTACGAGTAGTCATGGGTCAGAATATTCAATAATCCTGAAATGAATAATGCTTGAAATCCTTAGAGATCAAACAGTATTAAACACAGGTTCTTTTACCACTCTGAAAGCTTATCAACCACATACCAACACCTCAGTCACCGATATGACTTGTTGCGAGCGCCGTCTTCGATGCCGTCTTCGAAGTGGTTGACAAGATATCAGAGTACACTGTTTATTGAATATCAACATAGCGATCGAGGTGTACCGTCTCTTAAGACAGATAAGTCACAGTTTATGATAGGCCAGTAGGAAGAAGCGGTAAGAACAATCAGATAGAAAACGCGATAAACGTTTTGTGATACACCGCCCTGATCGAGGCATTTTGTATGTATAGTTAAACACTATTGGTTTTAATTTTACGAGTGGAATAGTCATTGTAAATCTCACCTGAGCTGAAAGGGGCAGAATGCAACTCGCCGTTAACCTTCATAGTTACAGCGGCATCTGTACACATGGTGGCTGCTGGACTACTCCGTCATAGGTGCCTATTGGAGAACAACATTCCTAGGGAATTCAGTTGAATGGTTAAGGTTTTCAGTCTTTACTGAAGTTACTTTAGTTCCGATTTTACAGAAAGTTGGTTCTCCTTGACTGAAATGACATCGATTTTTTAAAAATTGAAAATATACAAGGTTTTTCAGGCGCCTTCTTACAATTATAATATTGAAATAAGATATGCTTTCCTTAAATAGTCTGTAAATAAAATCTGTTCCTTAAATAAGTTCGAATTCAACTTTTCAAAAATATGAGTACTTTCCGTGCAATTTTATGCAAAAGATGTGCAATTTAAAGAAACAAAATGGAGCTGTTTTTTTAAATGCTTTTATTTTGGACACACGTACACGGAAATTACGCATATTTGTGAAAACGTTGAACAGAAACTCATATAAAGATCCGTCTTTACACTAGATGTCTACCTAAGAAAAAAATCTGGAATTATGGGTCTCTATTGTTTCCCTTTGTGAATTTGATTTCTTTGAGCTTTTAGAGATTAAATACTTTCTACAAATATTTATATTTGTTAATAAATAATTGGTAAAAATGCAGGTTTTTACTTGAAACATCGTAACTATAAAACAAATTGATATATTTTGGTAATTCTTTTTTTAATTTAGTGAATGAACTAAAATGATAATGGTTCTGTGAAAACTAAGTTCGAACTTAATATTTGAAGAAATAATTGTTTATAATGTATTCTGGGCATTTCAGTACATAAAACTGAAACTTTCAGTGACATAATAGCTATTTTAGTTCATATACTGGAGCAAATCGTGGATTACATGTGGCAAAAATATAATTGAATTATTATATTTACTACTTTATGATTTATGATATTTGACATGCGCTAATGTACTGAAAATTCCCAATTCGAGAAAATTCATCTAAAGCTCACTCACTCAGTACTCAACAGTTGACACTTTCTCAAAAAACAAACAAACAAAAAAACAACAATTTCTCTAAAACTAAGAAACGTAGCACGAAAAGTCTGGTTTAAAGCATTTAAAAGAGAATAAAACAGAGCATACGACCCAATAAGAATTTAAAAACACGAAATTTCAGGTAATTCCATAATTCTCAGGTAGACAAGTACCTGGAAGAAATTTCATTACGGACACTATCCCTGTTTTCAATAGAATAGTTGTCCCAATAGGGGTCGTTCCAAAAATTTGCCCCTTTTCAATTTTCAAAAAATCTATGTCATTACAGTCGGTAAGAACAAACTTTCAGTAAAACTTGTATCAAATTCAACTGAAGTGCCTAAGGAAGTTGTTCTCCAAAAGGCACTTATGACTGAGTAGTCCATCAGCAGCCAAACGAGCAGTTACCGCTAAAGCAATGAAATATCACGGCGGGTTGCATACTGCCCCTTTCAGCCCAGGTGATTTTTTTAATGATAATTTTGTTCCTTTTAAGATATCATCAAGAAAATTTAATAGCTGTTATAACATCCGAAATGCAATATTATTGCCGTTTTTAATAAATTTAAAGAAGTTCCTTTCCGAGTAATTGTGTTTATAAAATATTTTTCATTGTTGTATGCCAAGTATAGCACGATATAAATTTGGTATTCAATGAATACTTTTACTATCTATTTTATATAAGCTCACACATTTTATAGAATTTGTACAAATGTTTATAGTAGAGCAAAAGATTTTAAATTATAGAGTGGTATTCACAAGTACTCCTAGATTTTAAGATTGCATTGTTGCCGAACAATTTGTACCTCGACGATTTTTAATATTGTATCTCGACGATGTAGGCATCATGGGCAATAATATGCCAAAATATTTTCAAGTTTGAAGGAGTCATGTTATAAAATCTCCTTTTTTGCGTGGAATGATCCCAGTGTTAAAGATCCAATTAAATAATGGGTTGTGGTTAACTTGGTGCACCTTGAGCCTATTGTGAGTGAGGTTGAGCAGGCGCAGGCGCTCCAGGCCCTGCAGGCGCTCCTGCGGCAGCAGCTCGAGCTCGTTGACGCCCAGGTGCAGCGTGAGCAGCGCAGGCAGGCTGCGGAACGCCCCGGGCGACACCCGCGCGATGCGGTTCTGGTCCAGGTACAGGTGCAGCAGCGTGGGGAACGCCTCGAAGTCGTTGCTCGTCACGATCGTCAGGTTGGTGCCGCTGATGTGAAGCTCCTACCAGAAGGTAAGGTATGTAGTCTTCTCGCTCATGTTACTTGCCAAACGTAACGTAAATTGGTCTCAACCCGATGAGTGTTGTTTTAATGTTTACGTAGGAAAGTTCCAAGAACGCCATTACAGTAGATCTACCGTGAACGGGAATATTTTTGATTTTACGAGTTTAAACAGGCGCTTGGATTCCTTAGTAATCAACCATCAAGACAAAGAATAAGAGTTCGCCCATATAAAATGCCTAAACAATGTTGGAGAGTCCGTCAAAATAGTTCAGCAGACTTTTGGGTTTATATTTTACCAGTTCTTTAATATAATGTAAATCTTTGGATAAACATGCCGATACAACCAAACAGAATTATTTTCATAAATGGGAATAGTTATGTTTACAATTGATTCAGAGAGAGGAGTACGGGAACAAGTTAAAAATGCAATTTTTATTTTGGAAAGATGTTTTTTAAAGCAAGGCAACTTGCGAAAAAAGGAATCACTTCATAACAGTGTTGAGGGTATCATAGTGAATTCGCTCAAAAGAAAAAAATGGACAGGACAATATAACATGTGTGAGTTTGACTGAATGTTTCCTTCTCCTGAAAAGTTGATAAAAACTACCTGTTCTTTCTGTCATGCTCGTTGAATCAGAAATTGTAATAATTGTAAATGAATTTATTAAATTTCGTTATTTTCTTAGAGAAGAGACATGTGTGAAGTGATTTTTGTGATTGTACAAAGAGCAATTTTTGTTGTTGTTTTGTTACAATAAATGTATTTATGTTTGGAAATTATATATATAAACTAATACTAATTTATTAGTACTAAAAGGAGCCTATTCTACAATTTTGCTCAAATGGGTCATTTTAGTACTTTCGGTCAGTTTGGTAATTTTCGTCATTTTAGTCCCTTTGGGGTTTTATGGTAAATTAGGTCACTGATCGTTTTGTTCCTTCCGAATACTGCGATTGTTATTTAAATACGATACAAAGGCCCTATACCAGCAACCCTTGCAACAGAACATCGAGACTAATGACAATTCATAACTTCATGAAAGTGGTATGTTGATTCTGAATAAGTTACAATAAATAAAATTGTAAGACGTTCTATATGAGTCTTTAACGACTTGTGACAATTATTATATCGTCAGGCAGGCAAGTTGGCAGGCCGAGATGTGAACCTTCGTAGCAGTATAGACTTTGACAATGAATATACACACTCAATTCTTCTTGACTCGTGACGTTTGATCTTCTTAATCGCAATAGAATTAACGAATCTAGGAATCTAGTGAGGGAGAAACGGAATGAGGTTTGGGCTAATAGCGTGTGGTAGGTGTGATGACGGCGATGTACACTGGCTGAAGATGGGGTGTGAGGTGAGAGTTGAGGTCGGAGGTGAGGAAGTTGGGTGAGAAGGGAAGAAACTGGGGCTAAGGACGCGATGGAATCAGGGTTGAAGTCAGGGCTGCAAAAGGTGCTGAGAATGCAGGCGAGGGAGGGGTATGGTCAGGGGTGAAGACGGGGTGGCAGGTGTGAGAACAGGGTTGAAGAAGGTGATAAACAACGACCGTGTGAGGATGGTGATAAGGACAAGGTTGAGAACGATGTTGCGGACGGGATAAATGTTAAGATGGGGTCAGAAATAGTGAAAAGGGTAAGGAAGGGGCTGTAAGGAAGGAGAGATCGGATAGAGAAAACAAACGTCTTATAACGCTCGTCGAGGACGTAACGTCGAGTGTGAGACGAGTGTGAGGGCCTAGTGAGAATATGAGAATGAGAAAGAGAGAGTGAGAATCCAGAGAGATTAAAATAACGTGGGAACCAAAGCCAGACCAAAAGCCCTAAATGAGTGGAAATTAATTAATGTCAAACCTGCAGGCTAGGATAGCGTCGCGTGGAGGAAGCTGCCGCGGCGTCGTGTATTCGCGCGAGCGGGTTTCCCGTGAGGTTGAGCCACCCGAGCCCCGGCAGGTTCTGCTCGGCCAGCGCCACGGCGGGCAGCTGCCGCAGGCGGTTGGCGGCCAGGTCGAGGCGGCGCAGCGCGGGCGCCAGCGCGAAGAAGTTGGCGGGCAGCGCCAGCAGCGCGTTGTGCGCCAGGTCCACCGTCAGCAGGCGCGACAGGTTGGCGGCGGCGAAGCCTGACAGTGCTGCCAACGCGTTGTGCGCCAGGTCCAGCTCGCGCAGGTGCACCAACCCGCGCAGCTTGGAGAAGTCGACCGACACCAGCATGTTGCTGGATATGCTAAGAACCTAGCGAAGAATATTAAAATTGGGTAGTGTAAATAAATTAATTAAACCTTCAAGTTCATTAAGTGAGCACTACAATAACAAACAATTACCATCTTATCCAATTTTATTACACCTAAGGTTTTAAAACGTGAAATAGTGGCTGGAGATCATTGCAATTAAATTGGGATTCTTTACTTAGAATGAGTCTCCAATGCATGGTTGCCATTAGTTCATTACAAACTATATGTTTCATATCACTAGAATAATAACGTGAAGGTTGGGTGATCTGGGCTGTCCGGATGACGCCGCGTCGAAGGCTGAGTTGCCGACGTTTCGACCATCCTGTCGTGGTCTTCCTCAGGGCTGGTATGCCATGGTCATGGTCAATGGTCATGGTCAATGGCCATGCCATGGTCGACGCGGCGTCACCCGGACAGCCCAGATCACCCACATGACTCTGGTCGCGGAAGCCTACGACTTCATTCACGTGAAGGATGTTTACCTCCAGTGATGTGACGTTTGCAAGAGCGGCGTACGGCAGCTCGAGGAAGGCGTTGCGGTGCAGGCGCAGCTCGCGCAGCTTGGAGAGGCCGTGGAAGGCGTCGCGCGGCAGCTGGCGCAGGCGGTTGCCGCCCAGGTTGAGTCGCGCCAGCGCCGTGCAGCGCGCCAGCAGCGCCCGCGGCAGGCGCCCCAGCGCCGCGTCCTCCATCGCCAGCGCCTGCAGCGACGGCAGCCCGTCCAGCGCGCCTGCCACGCCTGCAGCGCCGCTCAGGTCGTTGCCGGACGCCACCAGCACGCGCAGCCCGGGAATCTCCAGCGCCCGGAGCGCCGACGCTGTCAGCCGGTTGCGCTCCAGGTTGAGCTCGTTGAGGTTGTTGAGGCCGCGGAAGGCCCCCGGCTCTATTCGCGCTACTGAGCAGTTGCGAAGGTTCAGCACGCGGATCGGGAGAGCCTCCTGAAAAAGCAGCGTTCGAAGGTAAGTGGAACGAAGTACCATGGTACAATGAATTCAGAATAAATGTTACTAAATTTTAGAGCGAGTAGGAAGTCGAAGACGATTACATTTTAACAAACAACATGTGGAAATTCCTTATTATATCAATATTACCTTAACTCTTTAGCGCGATAGTCCTTTACCACATCTGAACTTGAAGATGCGGAACGACGTTTTGCTGACCTATGCGTGATGAGCATCGTTCGCTATATATTGTTACAGGGTGAGATTGTTTCTGATTCAGATACATTGTTACTATCGTATTGCGCATTGGGTTTTCACAACAGGTTCACCTAAAATGGTATTTTTGAATCGATATTTTTGTACATTGTAGATACCATCTGAATGAATCATTATGCGAATTCTCGAATCGTATAATATTTTCGTCAAAGCTTCAAGAATCGTACTATTTACTTCTAAAATATTATAATTCATTATTCATCGAGCGTTAATGTAAAGATAAAATCGTGTACTTCAGTGAATGACTGATATAACTTCTTCCAAAAGACGTGATATTTTACAGCCAGATCCTACTTATTACAGAATTTTCAAGCCGAGTAAAATGTTTTCATTCGTATATCAATATGACTTCGAAAAAATCGATTGTGATATAGATTACGCATACGAAGGTAAAGCCAGATTCATTGTTTAGAAGTCTGAGAAAGAAGATTTCAAATATTTCCTAACTTGAAAAACAGAGAATAACACGCGAGAGCCTGTTACGAGCGTACGAGGCACGTCATTTCATTCCACAGACGAAAACCATCCGCGTTGAGTTAAATAGTGGAAGACAGCTCATCGTTCATTGATCATAGTCATGAACATAGTCATAGTCATGAACTTGTATCTTCCAATCACCAAAATAATTTTCTCACTTCAGGGATACATGTCTCTTGTATTCATTATTAAATGAGACTTTTCAATAGTTATTCATTGTCAAAAAGTTCTATTTTCCCACATTTTATATGCTTTAAATGTTTGCAAGATTTGTTTAATAACCTTGTATTCTACCTGCAAGACCCTCCACGTAAATTGATGTCAAGAAATATCCCTAGATCATTTTCTAAAATATACCTAACCTTCTCAATAAGAAGTAGGTTTGGTACACTTCATTCTCATACTTTTTTATTCTAACCAGGAAAATATAAAGAGGGCAGTTCAAGTCAAGGGAAAACAAAGAGAGAAGAAAAGAACACAGAGATAGAGCAAGAGAGAAAAGACAAGAAGCGAAAGAAAGTATGATACATGAATGAAGAAGGAAGAAGAAAAGGAGACTGATAAAGGAATTGAATTGCAGTTCTTGAATCTAATAAAGGCATTGAACTGGCACGATGAGGCCTGCGCACAACAATTGAATCGAACAAATGCCAACCTGGAAGATGGCGTCGTGGAGCACGTGCAGCAGGTTGTCGGCGAGGTCGAGCGTGCGCAGCTTGCGCAGCGAGGCGAGCGCGCGGGGCTCGATGCCGCGCAGCCCGTTGCCCGCCAGGCGCAGCTCCTCCAGCTCGTGCAGCTCGGCGAAGGTGCGCGCGCCCACGTGCGCCAGCCGGTTCAGGCTCAGGTCGAGGAACTTGAGCGCCTGCATGGGCGCGAAGGCGCGGTCCTCGATGGCGGCGATGGAGTTGTTGGTGAGGTACACGCGCTGGATGAGCAGCAGGTCGGAGAAGAGCGCGCGGTCCAGGCGCGTCAGGCGGTTGTGGCCCAGCCACATGATCTGCACGCTCGACTGCCCGCGCAGCGAGTCGTTGTGCAGCGACTGCAGCCCGTTCGAGTCCAGCTGCGAAAAAAATTAAGGTATTTATTAAACATTTATCTGACTTTTCTGTTTACTTCTTACACGTTTATAAAACTTTGTAATATATGATAATGAATACTAGAATTCATATTTTAAAGAGAAAAGTAATTTTAAAAGTGCAAAGGCGATATTGTAAAATCACATTTAAAAAGAATAAAGTGAATGGATACTTACAAATTAAAATTTGCCATTATGTTGGTAGCAAATAGATCGCAGGGAAATAAGTGAAGGTACCTATACTTCTAGCATCTGTTATGATTGCTGTGAGTGCGGTATTTACGTTTTCTTTTACTACACGCTTGTACCAACATAACATTTTGTTTCATGCACCAAGGTGCCTCTGCCGAGAGACTTTTCTGGCGCGCTGTATTTTTTCCAGTGTTTAATGATTCATCTACTAAAACTAAACAATAATTGCGAAATAATGTTTTTTAATCACTAGGATAATTTTTTAATCTGATCTTTAAATGCATATAACAATATGTTATTTAAAAAATCTGATATATGATGTCAAAATCAGTTGTTTCCGGGCTTGAAGGCCGTGGTCCGTTGACTGACGACCGCGGCGCTGCCAACACTTCGCCCCCGCCAGCAACGCCACTGATGATGCCTGCCACAGCTGCAGGCGAAACGTATGGACAAGTCTCCATTGGACCACGGCCTTCAAGCCCGGAAACAACTGATTTTGATGTGGAAACCGGCCGTGAAAGCCTACATTGTATGATATATGATGATCTCATAGTGCCTGGAAATACAAAGCAACCTCTCTGAAACGTTGTGCTAAACTTTTAAAGTGTATCATGAGAGTCAGCTAAGTTGAATAAATATTTAATATGCGGAATTAAAATGACCTGAAGTTTATTTACCGGACCGGATGGACGAGATTGGCAGTAGTGCCGTACGATCGCGGGTTCGAGACCTGCCTCGGGGCATGATTTTTTTTGTGTTAGTTCTTTCACCCCCTATCATCATCATATCGTGTCATCCTCATAGTTACCATGCCGTTACAGGCAATAGTGGTAATGACCTAGAAGTTGATGCGACCTTAAATAACAAAAAAAGTTTATTTGCCTATCTATAAAATATGTAACATTGAATATCAATCAGGATGTCAGAGCAGCTTGTAGAAACGTGCTATTCAGCCTGTCGGGCTCGTGTGGCAATTATTCGGACTCGCAAATATAAAGTGACACTTTTTTTCACTCGTATCGGACACACCTATTCAGAACGGAATACGTTTTCTCTGTTACAAAATTTGGGTGATAATTAGAACTAATGAAGAAATACGTATTTTGAGTGCAGTACATGAAGGTGCCGGGCATTTATTCAAACAATATACACTATATAAAAGATATATTAATCACTATATATAAAGAATGGTTAGTAAAAACTTAAAATATTCTTCTTAATTAAATCAAAGATGTGTTAAATCCTCTGCTACTGTCTTATAACCGATTGCAATTAGTTTATACTCATACAGCATCATATTTCCTAATACCTGAATTGACACTAGTGAAGGCGATTCATGGAGGAAAACGTCCCCAAGTGTAGCCAATAGATTTCCTTGCAGGTTAACGTGTTGCAGGCTCTGCAGGCTGCGGAATGACCCGGCCTCGATGCTGGCAATGACGTTATTCTGTAGGTGCAGCTCCAGAAGTGTTGGTAATGGGTCGAAGACCCCTCTTGATATGGAGTGTAGTCGATTACCCTGAAAAGAAGGGGCATGCCATTAAATAGGTACATCATTAAAATGATCATCTTTCTCTCTAAGGGCCCAATGGTCTAGTGCTGTTATCTACGTATGTTGTCTTATTATTATTATTATTATTATTATTATTATTATTATTATTATTATTATTATTATGAAGCTGATTTAATCCCATTACGAGCAAAGGTCTCCTGCAAGCAGGTGAGTGGTTGGTTTATTACTAATTCTTACAATTATTGTACTTTGGTATATATTTTTCACTAGTCACTTTCAGTTATTCTCTTTCTTCCTAAGCTTTCTTATCACTACACTTTCTATCCCTTTTAATTTCTTACATTTAACACTTTTAACATTTCCTAACACTTTCTTAGCCCTGGAGATAAACTCACTTGGAATGGGATGTCATTTTACTCAGTATTAGTTCTCGATGTTTGTATCAGTGTACCTCTTAGTTCTTACCATTTTGATTTAGTCTTTCTATATACTTTTCTTATCTATAGTATTATGTGTAAGCTCTTTCCACACTTTTTCAAGCTTCTCTTGACCACGCGTTACTACGTTCTTACTTGAGGGTATCACCTTTTCTTAGATGTTGCCTTTCTGAATCACATCTTTAAACCTAAGGGTTGTTTACAGTAGTGATATGGGTCCTCCGAGTTTCGAGGTACTGCGAGGTGGGTCTGTCGCGAGCTGCAGTTCGAGTGTTGCCAGCTTCTTTATTGAACTCGCCTGCCCATCTCAGTCTTTGTCTCCATTGATTCCTCCATCCCGTTCTTAGGCACCATATTGTTGCGGCGTATGCTCACATTTCTTGGATAAGTCGGACTACGTGCACTCCCCAGCGCCATTTTTGTCCAGTTCTGCTTGTATGACGATATCTTTTATTTTTGTTTCGTTCCTTATGATAAACAGCTGTTTACTTTGCCTCTAAGTGTGATATTCAGAATTTTGCGTTCTATTTTCCGTTGGCATCTCCTTAGCGACACTTTTTCGGTTTGAGTTAGCGACCATCTTTGTGATCCATATAGAAGAGCGGGGAGTACACAGGTGTGCTCTTGGTTTGTAATGATGGTCTTATCTTTTAAGTAAAATAAAAGAGATTGCAGAATTTCTTTCATGCCTCCTTTCTTCTCTGTTTTATTTCTTGTTACATTTTGTTTTTAAATAGTATATATTGTCCCAGATAATTGTATTCATCTACATATTCTACTTTACTTCCTTCTAATGTAATTGGTCGTTTGTCATAATTTTAGTTTTGGAAGTGTTCCTTTGAAGTCCTACCGATGTGCATTTTTCGTTGAGTTCTAATGTAGCGTCTTTGCTAGAGCAATAAATCACAGACGTGAACGGTTTGTAATTTATTGAGTATTTATTTGAAAAAATGCTCCAACACCTGAATACTATGTACAATAATTACAATAAACAATATTGACCCGTTACTAGAAGGAATGTTCCTGGTTACCATCACCACTGGCCTGATAATTAGCTTAATAATCTTATTCGGTGTGATGCACCAGTATCCTACGTGAGCACACAAGCGAGTATGTCGCACCTCCCGTCTCAACGTAGCACGCCGGCTTCAGTTCCCTGCCTCAGTAGCCTATGTATTAAGATGCAGCGCCGCGCACCACCCACACGACTTCCTACCGACGCGCCCAAGAATCAGAAGAAGGAGTTTAGGTCCGGGGTCCGTATATATTACCTTCTGGGCCGGCTGACGGACCTGCGTCACCTCGCTGCTTCCGCCGAAGCGTTTCCGCAGCTAGCCTGTGTACGGGGTTCACAAGTTTGCCGCAAGTGGTCTACGGGGTTCACAAGTGGCCACCCACGACACGGCACCCCTTCCCTTCCGCTCCCAAGGTTTCCTATTGCTCAGCCCGGCGTCTCTTCCCGCCAGCGCTGTCCATGAGCATGAAATGCACGCGGCTGATATTTTGTCACGTTTGTACAAGGTGACTGATATGACGCCACACCAGAAGCATCTTTTTCAGTATTTTTGGTGAGGTGGCGAAGAGTACGATGTCGTTAGCAAAGTGAATATTTGTTATCCTTCTGCCATCTACCTTAATTACTGCTCTTTTATTTCAGTGTAGTTTGCGGAATATATCTTCTAGTAAAGATGTAAATAATTTGGGTGATAACAGATCTGATGGTCTGACTCCCCGGTTCACGTTACAAGCTTCCTCCTCTTCCGTACGGACTTTTCTTTGCTTTGTTTGTATATCTTTGTTAAAAGTCTTTTATATTTTTCCAGGATGCATTGAGATAACAAAGCATTAAACATAGTGGCATGTTCTACACTGTAAAATGACTTTGAGAAATCAATGAAGGCTATGTAGAGCCTTAGATTGTATTATTGAAATTTTTCAATTATTTGGTTGATGGTTTGCTCATTGACCGATATGCTATAATAGTGCTCTAAAACCCGCTCGTTCAGGGGGATGTTCTTCGTCCACTCTATTCGTGATTCTTCTAGTCAGACTTTTGAAAAATAATTTATATATATTAGACATCAGACTTATAGGTCTGTAGTTGTATAGTCTGCATCTGGTTACTTTTTTGTGTATGAGAGTTATGGTATTGGATATCCATTGCTTCGGAATTTCTTCGGTTTCTAGAATGTCATTAAATGATCTTGTTATATCTGCAATCAGTTCTTGAGGGCATGCGTTAAGGAAATTGTTTAACACCTTATCTTTGCCTGGAGTTTTTCCAGGTGTTAATTCTGAGAGTGAGTATCTTACTTAACGTACTCTTAATGTAAGTATTTTTTTCTAGTTCTTTATTGCGGGGATTTGCAAACTCGATTAGTGGTTGGGTTGTTTTTGTTTCGTACAGTTGTTTGTAGTATTGAGTAACAACTGAGTTGATTTCTTTTCTCTCAGTTACTCTTTTATATTGTTTGTTTTCCGTCTCACTCCAGACGCCGAGCCGAGCGGACGTGTTTGCTACCTGCTGCAAAATGGTCCCGACAGAACAGTGGCGAGCGCCTATCAGCGGCTGGGTGAGGGGCTACCTGCCGCGCGGTGGCGGTGCCCGTGGGACTGCACAGGGGCAGGGGCTACTTGCGAGCGTGCTGGGCGCGGCTGTGATGGCGGTGCAATTGGCGATCGGTGGGGTGGAGCTGTATCCCGCCCTCCCCCCACTAACGCCGGGATCATCTACGTTTTGAACAGGAATCATAAGGAGATAATTGATAGAATCAATTTATTACAGTCTAGAGTGATGTCGGCAGAGGTGACAGTGCAGTCGCTGCAGACAACCAACGAGCGGTTGGTGCGCAAGGTGGGCTACCTTGAAAACCAGTCGCGTCGTAACAATATCATTGTTACTGGCATCCCAGAGCAGCGGAACGAGTCATGGGCGGATTCGGAAAGATGCATTCTGGGTTTAGCTGAGCAGCTGGGTGTCAGGCTGGAGCTTCACGACATCGAGCGCGCGCACCGGACCGGGCGGCAGCGTGAGGGACAGCCGCGCATAATTGTGGCCAAGCTGGCCTCATTCAGGAAGCGGGAGGAGCTGCTGCGTGCAGTCCGGGAGCATCTCTCCCAGCATAGCATGGTGCGCGTCCGAGAGGACTTGAGCTGGGCAGTGCGACAAACGCGTAAGGCGTTAATTCCACATTTGCAGGAGGCGAAAGCGAGCGGGAGGAAGGCGTCTATTCGTTTCGACAAGCTTGTCGTGGCAGGGCGAAGCTTCGTCCTGGGCGAGCTGGCGATCTATCCGCGGGCTTGGGAGGGGGCTGGGTGGCAGGGCCCCGTGAACTCCGCGAGGGGGCAGAACCCCAGGAGGGCGGACACCCCTTCCGAGCAATCGGGCGCCTGCTCGCGGCCGCCCCCGCGCGCGCGCGTGGCCGGGACCGCGGCCGCACCTGCAGCTGCGCCATTCTGGGGCGGCGCGGACGACCTCTGTCCCCGCGGCATCGAGGCGGAGGCAATCGCGGTCACGTTCGCGCCGGCGGTCGCGCTCGCGATCCCGGTGGACCTCACGGCACTCGTCGAGTGCCGGGCGGGTCGCGGCAAAAGCGTAGAGCGAGGGTCGCGTACGAGGGCGATGGCAGCCAACATGCAGCAGCAGGAAGCTCGCGGTGAGTCGGTGCCCAACAGTTCACCAAATAGGCAAGAATAGGTTTTAAGAATAGGGTGTTGGAACATCAAATATCTAGGCTCTAAGCTCGGAAATCAAGACTTCCATGGCTACATTAATACGTTTGATGTAATTGGTCTCGTTGAAACTTGGTGGAAAAAGGGTGAAACGTTAACTGTGTCTGGTTTTACAGCCATATGCAAAAATAAAAAATGCAGAGGAGAAAGGGGTCGGTAACCGAGTGGTGTTGCGTGCGTTTTTCGGACTAGCTTAATGCCGTTTATTAATGAAATTAAGACCAACTCAGACAATTTCGTTTGTATTAGACTAGTAATGCAAAATATAGATATTGCCATTGTGTTTATATACCATCACCCACAGGTTTCGCGTTATTATACTACGGAATCCTTCGGCGAAATCAATGATTTCCTAGATACGTTACAGCTGAGGTACCCGAGTACTAATTTACTAGTGTTAGGGGACATGAATGCACGAATTGGCAATGAGTAAGAAATTTTTTCGAACTTCGACCGGCAAGAAGCGAGAGCGAATTCCAGAAAAAGCAAAGACTCGGTCATCAATAATGATGGGCAGGAATTGCTAGAATTATGCGAAAGATTTAATCTCGAAATCTTAAATGGCAACTATGGACAGGATACGGAAGGGGAACTAACTTTTATTAGTGGGAATGGAGGTAATGTAATAGATTACGCTCTATTGTCGCAGGAAAGAATACACAATTTATTAGATTTTGGGATCGAATTACGGGCATAATCTGATCATTTGCCTGTGTGCGTGCATTTAGCAGTAAATGCTTCTGCACTGCCATCGGCAGGGGAGCGGGCAGGAGCAACGAACTTGACAATAGGAAGACAACGGTTGGTATGGAAAGAGGAAAAGCGACAGGAATTTGTAGAGGGTATTCTTAACTAGGCAGGGTGAGCGCGAGAGGATTGGTCTCCGGAAACGCAAACGAAGGATTTAGAAACCGCGCAGGGAAGGGTATGCGAAGGTGAGGGAGAGGAGGAAGGGAACTGACCCAAGGGTGGTTTTGCGAGGAGTGTCGGGAGACCAGGCGCGAAACTATAATAGCCTTAAGGAAGTTCAGAAATAGGGGAACTGAGGAAGCTAGAAACAGTTATTTGTTATTACGTAGGCAGTACGAGGCCACAATTAAGAAATCGAAGTAATCTTGGCTGGATAGTGAGGCAGCAAGAATACATGCAATTCTAAGAAACGATTATAGTAAATCGATTTGGGACGTTATCAGATCTCTGCGTAATAAAATAAATTCAAGTAATGCAAGTTTAGCAGACGCGTGGGTGCAGTATTTTTCACAGACGTTCGCAGTAGGGAACATTGAAACAGGGCAAGGTATTTTCACTGACCGGAGTGTGCCTGAATTAGACGAACCTCTAACCTGGAATGAAGTAAATAGAGCTATTCTAACCATGAATAATAAGAAGGCAGGCGGCGCGGACGGCATTCCGAAAAAATTTATTCCGGAATTGTGGCAAATAGACCCAGAGAGTATTATGAAATCATTTAATGCAATTGCTGATTGCGGCTCGTATCCAGAAACGTGGAATACAGCTATCCTCCAACTGATTTTTTAAGAATAAAGGTGATGCGAATTGCCCACAAAATTATCGCGGAATTAGTCTTTTGCCAGCGCTGCGCAAACTGTTCTGTAAAATATTCAATGGGCAACTGAGTGAATGGGCGGAAAAGTACGGTAAAATATCAGAATTACAAGCAGGCTTTAGGAGAGGCTTCGCGACAACCGACAATATATTTGTGTTAGATACCTTAGTAAAACAGTCGCTTGCGCGTAAACGGGGCCACTTATATTGTAGTTTTGTGGATTTTGAAAAGGCTTTTGACTCTATCAATAGGGAAGATTTATGGCGAAAACTAAAGAGCTAGGCGTCTGACGTAAAGTGTTAAAAGTGTTGCACAGCATGTATAGGGAAATAAATTTCTGCATCAGTTGCGGTGATGGAAGTACAACGCAAAACATAAAATCGACAGCAGGAGTAAGACAGGGGTGTTCTCTTTCACCGCTGCTGTTTATCTTCTTTTTAAATGATTTATTGACGTGGGTACAGGAAGCGAATACAGCGGCTCCGGTAATTGATGGCCAGAAAATTCCCGGACTACTATATGCTGATGATTCAGTTTTATGTTCGGAGACGATTGAGGGCTTACAGAGGAGTTTAAATATTTTAGAACGGTAAAGTGAGACATGGGGAGTAAAAGTAAATATTCAAAAAACTAAAGTAGTGGTCTTCAAGAATAGGTTTATCTGGGGTAGCAAAGAGAAATGGTACTACGCTAGGGAAGAAACTGACCACGTCAAAACATTTACATATTTTGGTGCAAAATTTTCAATGAATGGGGGATCGAATAATCACATATTGACGGCCCACAGCAAAGGAAGAATTGCGTTAAAAGAAATCGTTTGCGCAGTGTGCAGGGTTCCAGAATTGCCGGTAAAAGTGTGCGATACAATGTTCAAATCGCTAGCTCTCCCAGCTATGAACTATGGGACAGAAATCTGGGGAGTGGATAGGGACTAGAAAGCATCGAAACAGATTATTTCAAATTAATTCTAGGAGTTTCCAGATGCGCAGCAAATGTTGGAGTCTTAAGAGAGGTCGGTAGTATAGGAATTTGGAGGGATTTTAAAATGAAACCTATTAAACTTTGGATTAAATTAACAAATGAACAGGCTGACACACTTATACATGTATAAGGTGCTTTAGACTGCAATTGCAGGGAAGCGACCATCGCTACTGGGTGTACAAAATTAAACGGCTACTTGACCACGCAGGGTTGGGAGACGTCTCTCCGGAAATGGTGGGAGATAGGGGAACCCGTGAGATAGAACGGCTGATTTCCGATAGACTTGCGGATATTAAAAAGCAAGACATCTGGGCAGCAACAACTGAAAAACGTTCTCTAGTAGCTCAAATCCATGCGAGTCCGTTATGGGGTTGCGAAAGTTACGGACATACTCTCGGATAGGACGCAAGAGGGGGGTACGCTTGGTTCAGGGTTGGGGGATGGATGCAGCGTAGACTAAAGGACGGAAGCGGTAATGGCATCTGTGTGCTTTGCGGTGATAGGGAAGACTGGATCCACATCCTCTAAATTTGCTGTGGAGATGAAACATGGAGAAGAAAATGGATGGGAATGGGAAATTACTACTTCTTAAACAGGAACGTAACGCTCGCCCAAAACATTTTAGGTGATAAATGGTCGAAATTTATGAAAGAATTAGGAACATTTTAGGAAAGGTTCGGACCATTAGGGAAACTGAAATTAGAGTGGGAAAACAGTACTGGTTAGCTTGAGCGGAGCCTAGAGTGGAGAGAAATAAATACGTCAATAAGCTAACAATAAGTAAGTTAATCAGTAATTTTATGTTAAGTCAGTAAACAGTTAAGAAATAAGTCATAAATCGTAGTCAATTGGTAAGGTAGTCAAAATGTCAATATAATAAATAAAATAAAATTTTCATAGTAATAAGCACATTAGGGGGTGAAGGGAAGGGGGGATCGGAAATGTAAGTGCAGAGGCGTTGGTGCGGACGATCTTCTTTGGCGCTGTTTGATTTCAGGTGCTGAGGAGGCCAAACACTGGAAGGAGACGGCGGGACGCCCGCGCCAGAAAATAAATAGTTAAAATAAACGTGGGATAGATTAGTATGTACTCGGCTTCTGACGGCAGGTTTTTCCCCTTGAGGGTTTTTTTCCTGAGCCGTACCTGGTTTCCACTGGTCTCTTATCCGCGGCTTTGATGCGATGGAGAGACCATTTGGAGTTAATACCAGAATTCGAAAGATTAGAACGCGAAAGGATGTAGGTATTGTAATGGATTAAAGGCCTTCGGCCTAGCCACATAGGATCAAGTAAACTAATTTGTTTGTAATCATTACCTATTAAATAAAAAATAAATGAAAATAATATTGTTTGTTTTTACATTGATTATCCACTGCTTTTCACGGTGAATTGTTTTCTTATTTTACTTTCGTTCTCTGAATTTGTTGTTTCCACTGGTTTATCATTGTTGTATTGACGTTTCTTGGGATTTTCTTATTTATCTCTTTGTCTTTTTGTTCATTTTTTAAATTTTGCTGAGTAAGTTCTTGTGTGTTTGTATGGTAGTTTTTCCATCTCGTCTGTGAGTTTTAAAGTGGTACTGAACTCTTGGTTTTGAATTCTTAGGCCTTCTTTAGTGGCTATGCTTCTTTCAAGATCGTCGTAGCGTTATTGAGTTTTTCCTATTAAAGTGTCGCCTTGTACTTGTCCTTCCAGGCTGCTACTTGTTCGTTGATTGCTTATTGGAAAAAAGCCGAATAAGAATTGTTAGCGATGTATTTTTATCATGAAGTATTTCTTTTTTTCTCTCTTGAATTGAATATAAGCACCTAACATTCTAAGGTCTGATTCGAACGTTAAATCTTTGATGACTTTGAATTTCTTTACTTGTCTTGCCGTCAGGGGATGTTCAAGTACATTCGTCCTGTGCTTCCTTTTTGAAAACGGTGTTCGTAAATTTCAACCTCCAACCCTCTGCACACTGTATTAGCCTCTCCCCTCTTTTGTTGCGTTTTCCGAGTTCGTATGAGTGGCAAGAATTTGCATCTCGATTTTTTTTGACTGCCTATTTTTGCGTTGAAATTCCCTACGCCGCAGTTAAACTGGCTTTTGCATTAGTTTACAGTATTGTCTAAGTAACGTTCAGTACAATTATTCTCTCAGATATTCCTACAATTTCTTCTATTTCGTTTCTAAGACCCTATTAGTTCAGTTTAACTCAAGAAAGGGTAAATATAATTAACTTCATAGTTACCGCGATACAATTCAAATTGATTACTAGAAATTTATGAAAAATTAGGTCACTGTGTGGTTTTCGTTATAATTCTCTATACAGTTATGCATAACATATTAATGATACGTAGCCATGAATCATGTCTTCCTACCAACTGCATATTCACGTATACACACCTCAGCTTCACATTGCAAGGGAGGAAGCCCCAGATTTGTATACTGCGGGAGGTGAGAGACATAAAGAATGAGAGAGAGGGAGAGTTCATTTTAAAAATAATTCGCATTTCTTCAGATTGAAAGAGGTAATCATAATTTCAATTAATTACTTCATTAACCTTTATATAGCAATGTGAAAAATTGTTTAAGCTAGATCACCGTATGCCTACTACTGTCAATTCTATGATATACGGGACAGATTTCATAATTTCGTTAAGGCAACGTTTTAAAAACATGTTTAATTACGTGTTAATTTTATATTATTTATACATAAAATAATTGATTTTGCTTTAGAGTTCCAGTACGGTTCATTTTTAAATACTTTTTACATATATCCTGAATATTTGTTTTAGAAATCGCTAACACCGTTACATTAGTGCTTGCTTTCCTGAAAATGGTAAAGAATAATTCTGACAATATACATTAATACATTAGTAAAATTAATTTCTGAAACAGTCACAACATATGCAATCTGTGTACCTGCAGGCGCAGCTCGCGCAGCGCCCTGGCGCTGGCGAAGGTGCCCGGCTCCAGCGCCGCGATGCGGTTGTCGTCCAGGCTGAGCGACGCCAGCTTCTCGCTGCGCGCCAGCAGCTGGCGCGGCACGGCGCGGATGAAGTTGGCGCTGAGGTGCAGCTGCGCCAGGTTGGGCAGCGACGCCAGCGCCTCGCCGTCCACGCGCCGGATGGCGTTCTGCTGCAGGTAGATGACGGTGAGCAGCGACGAGTCGGTGAAGGCGTCCGCCGGGATCTCCAGGATGTTGTTCTCCGACAGGAAGAGCTCCCGCAGCTGCGGCAGGCGGGCGAACACGCCGCTGATGTAGTGCACGTGGTTGTGGCTCATGTCCACCGTGCGCAGCTTGACGTTCTTGTGGAAGGTGGCGGCGTCCAGGAAGACGATCTTGTTGTGGCTCAGGTCGACGGACTCGAGGTCGGGCAGCGCCTCGAACGCCTGCGCGTCCACGCGCTCCACCGCGTTGTAGTAGAGCGAGAGCGTGCGCAGCGCGGGGAAGGGGCGGAAGCAGCCCGCGGGGATCTGCTCGAAGTTGTTGGAGCTCAGGTCGAGGAAGAGCAGCGCGGCGACGCGCGAGTAGCCGTCGTCGGGCACGGAGGCGATCTCGTTCCACGCGAGGCGCAGCGAGCGCAGCCGCTCCAGCCGGCGCAGCGCCGCCATGGGGAAGGCGCGCAGCTTGTTCTCCGCCAGGTCGAGCTCGGCCAGCGACGCCTCCAGCCCCGCGAACGCGTACTCGGACGTGGTGTGCAGCACGTTGCCCTTCATGTTGAGCTTGGCGAGCGCCAGCCCGTAGAAGCTGTAGGAGGGCAGGTCTGCGATCTCGTTGGCCTCGAGGTCGAGCGCGCGCAGGGCGGCCAGGCCGGAGAGTGCGCGCATGGGCACGGCCTGCAGCTTGCCCGCCACCAGCGCCAGCGACTCCAGCGACGCGCGCAGCCCGCCCAGCGCGTCGTCGCGCAGCGCTCGCAGCTCAGAGTGCGACACTTGAAGCTGTCGAACGGAGGCATCTGAAAAGACAAAACCATAGCATTGTATGGGAAAATGTTTCAGATATTACGAAGCAAGTTCATATTCAAAATTCTGATATTTAGTAAAATAGTCACATTGGCTTGAAATGTTTCCGAGTTATTAGTATTTTTAAGTAGCGAAGGCAACAAGCCATTGAATTTTTTAATTTATTTTTTATTACATTTTACGAAGGATGTTGGTTATTTTGTTCAGGATTTATTTCTTATTTTGAGTACACTGCGCTTCATCATTATGAGATCCATCTGGAGCCAGGCACTAAATAACAAGTTTTCATTTCAAACATGTTATCAGTGTAGAATGAAGGTTTCTACATATTACTATACCATAGTTATTTATATTTTTTATAAAATTTAGGCAGCAAGCGAAAGAGAGTACGTCACAAAATAGTCAAAATCTTTTAAGTCCATAGTCTGATTCCAGGAACCGGATACCAGAATGCAGATGCACGAAATTATGTAAATGCTCATTTCGTTAATAATTAACTAAGAACTAAAGATGGAAATTCCAATAGGTCTTCAATTAGCTCTAAAATATGTAATGTCGCCATCTTTGATAGGCGGAATCGGATGCCTTTGCCTCCTTCCTGCCTACGAGAAAGCTTCTAAAGGTTTTTGGTTTTACAACTGCCGCAGCAATCACTATAAAAAGCACTCTACAACACGCTTGCTATTTGGACTTTTTCACGCTGTAAAGCATGACTTAAAATATTTAAGTGCTGCTGAGGGGTGTGTTATCCTTGAACAATGCGTCGCCGAGCGCGGGAAATCCGGCTCGCTAGGGTCGCCTGTGGACTGCTGTCTTTTCGGGCGTGCGCTGTTTGTACAGTGCACGGCGTGGGGAGTACGCTATGTATATTTTGCGCCCTTCCTTTTGATATGAGCTTTAGACCGACACTGGAGAAGTTATAAATGTCTTTTTATTATTTTTTAACATTTTATTTTATTTTTGATGTGCTGCAGATGACCGAGTGATGTCAGCATTAGGGTCGAGAGGTTTGCCTGGAGCTGAGGGATGTCCCGGCGACTCTGCAATGCGCCACCGCCTCCCATTCTGCCTTCGCGGGCGCTCCGGTAAGTTGCAAATCCTTGAATTCGGAAGTCGCTCCGGTCGTTGAACCAAGTCTCTTGTATCACTATGATATCGAGATCATACTTTCGAATGAACTCGCCTATTTGCTGGGCTTTATGCAGTGCGTTACGCGCATTCCAGGTGCATGCACGCAGCGGTTGCATGTAGGTAGATTCTGCGCGTCTCCTAGTGGTTTGCGCCACCTTCGGGGAGAAGAGCTGCCAGTTGTGCAAGCATTGCCAGAAACTGGCTTCTGGAGAACGCTGCAGGGGTGGCCTCGGGTGGGCGCTGGTCCGCGACTCCACCGCACCGGTTGCGTCCCACGACACGTGGGACTGAGCGGCGCTTCCCTCTGCTTCCCTCCGCTTTTGTACCACCGCTGACCAAGCTGTCCCGTTACTTTTCTGACGGGCGGCACCGACCTGATTTCGGACATGGATGCCGTGTTCTGACCGCCCGGCATTCTCCCCGTCACCGTCTGAGGGACGACCGGGGAGACTAAAATAGCTGCAGCCGGAGTATGACGCTACATGGCGTTCGCCGCAGTTGCAGCATTCAGGTGGGAGGTTGAAGTTACCCCGTTTTGGGCAGTGTGCCGTGCCCATGTACTCCAGTTTGTTCTGCTCCGTAGGGTGGTCATTTTTTTGCAGAGCTTGCATCGGTAGTCATAGGCGCAATTGGCCGAGTGGTGACCCCATCTGCAGCAGCGAGCGCAAAAGAGATGCCATGCCCTCTTTTCGCGCTCTACAATCACGTCGTAGCTATCCAACTTACGGACCGAATAGATTTTGCGCGAGGCACGTGTGTCACGTACGGTGACCATGAATGTCCCCATGAGCAGTTTACTGCGCTGCCATTCATTTATCGCAGGCCCACCTTCACCTGCGGGTCTGGCGACCTCAGATTCTTTTAGACGCCAGTGTTGCCTGACGCCCAGAGGGTCGTAGCCGAGCTCTATCAGCTGTTGCGCCACTTCTCCCCCGGTGAACCCTCTCGGGAGTCCCATGATTGCCACTCGGAGGGTCTTTTCATGCCCTTCACGCGGTGGCGGGTGCGATCATAGAAATATGTCACGCAATTTAGCATATTTCTCCGCCTCAAATAGGCCACCTTGTCGGTGGCGTGGATTGCATAGACAATACGCTTCCCCCGCGTTATCGCTCGGCCAAGGGTGGCCTTTGTTTCTGTTGCTACGCCCAGCGCACGACCGTGTGCGAGCACAGCATCGGGGAGATCCTGAGACTTTTATAGTATGTCTTTTTCGGCCGCCGCTTGGGGCTCCCGTGTTTCGAGCGTGCCCAGGCGCCTCCGTCGGGGTCTTAGCGCTGCTGGGCCGGCCGCGCTGGTTGACGGGGACGGTTTCCCAGACGCCATCTGTGCCCTCGTCTTTGGGAGGGATGGGACTGGGCGATGGAGTCGTTACCTGCCGGGGATTCGCGTCGGGCGCCAGGGGTGGTTCCGCTCTCACCCGCGTGCGGAGATGCCGCCGCTCCCTCTTGGGCGTGGGGAAGGTCGCCGCCCTCGCCGCGGAGATCCTGGAACCCTCCGGGGACGTTTCCGTCTGGGATGGGGCCAGGACCTACAACTACGGCTGTAGCAGCAACCTTCGACTTTCGCCGACGGTTGCGGTTCCTCCCTGTGAAGGTGGTGGTCGGCGGCGAGGCGAGGGATGGGCGATGACGGTGAGGTTGCGGTTGCGAGGAGGGTGAGGGTGCGGGTGGCCCGCTGGGCCGCTGTCATCTGGGTCTGCGGGTGCCGGCAGCTCGAGCTGTGCTGCGGGGCAGGGGAGCGTTGCGCTGGGTTGCCGCTAGTTCTGCCGCAGAGCCCGGAGGCCAGCGGCGTTGTGGACGGGTCGTCAGTGGTTTGTTGTGGGGCTGGGAAGTGCGTTTCGAATGCGCGCACCCTTTCCAGAGCTGAGGGTGAGGACCGCGACTCTGGCATGGGGCTGGAAGTAGCCTGAGCGGTAGGCCCGCCTCAGTCCTTCCAAAAGAAGCCCAGCTCCGCTTCGCGAGCCCGTGCGAAGGCAAGTATCACCTTCCAGGGGACCCTTTTCAGTTCCTCCCATTCCTTCCCCTCCATGTTGGAGGAAGTGCAGGCTTCAGGGGTGGAGGAGGAGCACCATATGTCTCCACACACTCTCTGCAAGCGCAGATTAGGGACTCGCCGTGGAGTCGAGCCCATATCGATGGCGGAAGGAGCAGTCGCTGCGACTTCCACTGCGTTGTTTTCGGCCGATGGCCGAGGCAGCAGCGGCGGCGGTGGTGTTCGAGCTGCAGCGGCAATGGTGGCGGCGGGCACTACTGCGTCGTCCGCAAGACCAGCGCCGGTGAAGGGCAGCGGCAGAGGCGTAGGCGGTATCGGCGGCGGCTCTGATATTTCCGCCATGGCTTTGTTGCCAAAGTACCTGCCCGCCCCCTCGCTCAGGCGGCCCGGCGGGGCATGAGGCGGCGGGCGAAAGGTGCAGGCCCGGGTTTATGCGCACTAGCGTTGGGGTCGGCCAAAGGAGCGGAGCGGCAGGGGCACATCCGCACCCTTCGACCGCTCGTCGCGAAGTGGCCAATAGCGATCTCCATGACCGTACAGCTCGTAGTACCTTCAGAAAGCTGTAGATGCCGTGCCAAGTCAATAGTTATTAGTGCTCCTAAGGAATAAATTCAGGAAACAGGTGAAACGTCGCGATGTAAATATCCGGCGTTGGCGCTTAAGAGGTCAAGTTCATTTCAAAGGGTATGGTAGAACGGAAGCATCTCCTATGTCTATCATAAAATTCTTAAGCCGAACATAAAATTTTAAGAAATGATTCTAAAACCAGTCATAAATTAGTTTATTAATTTAAGTCAATTTGTACCATAGCAGCTGTCCACGCGCGCGCGCGCACACACACACAACCTCTCTCTCACACACACACCCCACCAACACCACATACGCGCGCTCGTCGGCGCCTCTAAGAAAGTCACTACTATAACTTGTGGCTCTTCACGTATTATCAAGCTTCTTTTTTAAACAGGGACGCTGCATTATATTGTGTCCAAACCTTTCACACACTTCACAGAAAACATCATCGTCATCGAGCGAGTGCACTTACTTGGGGGAAAGACGTCGGCGGTGAGCGAGTGCACTTACTTGGGGGAAAGACGCCCGGGGGCGGTTGAGTTTCGGTTGAGCGAGTGGTCGAGGTTCGTAGACGCAGAGACGAGTGCACTTTTACTTGGCGGAAAGAGCGTCACGGCAGTGAGCCGGTGAGCGAGTGGTAGAGGTCGTAGACGGAGAGCGGAGTGCACTTACTTGGGGGAAAGACGTCGCGGTGAGCTCGGTGAGCGAGTGTCGGGTCGTAGACGGAGAGCGAGTGCACTTACTTGGGGGAAAGACGTCGGCGGTGAGCTGAGTGAGCGCGAGTGGTCGAGGGTCGTAGACGGAGAGCGAGTGCACTTACTTGGGGGAAAGACGTCGGCGGGTGGAAGCTCGGTGAGCGAGTGGTCGAGCTCGTAGACGGAGAGCGGAGTGGCCAGCTTACTTGCGTAAAGACGTCGCGGTGACGCTCGGTGAGCGAGTGGTCGAGGGTCGTAGACGGAGAGCGAGTTGCACATTACTGCGGGAAAGACGTCGGCGGTGAGCTCGGTGAGCGAGTGGTCGAGGTCGTAGACGGAGAGCGAGTGCACTTACTTGGGGGAAAGAGGCCGGCGGTGAGCTCGGTGAGCGAGTGGTCGAGTCGTAGACGGAGAGCGAGTGCACTTACTTGGGGAAGACGTCGCAGTGAGCTCGGTGAGCGAGTGGTCGAGGTCGTAGACGGAGAGCGAGGTGCACTTACTTGGGGAAAGATGTCGGCGGTGAGCTCGGTGAGCGAGTGGTCGAGTCGTAGACGGAGAGCGAGTGCACTTTACTTGGGGGAAAGACGGTCGGCGGTGAGCTCGGTGAGCGGATGGTCGAGGTCGTAGACGGAGAGCGAGTGCACTTACTTGGGGGAAAGACGTGGCGGTGAGCCGGTGAGCGAGTGGTCGATCGAGACGGAGAGACGAGTTGCACTTACTTGGGGGAAGACGGGCCGGCGTGAGCTCGGTGAGCCGATGTTCGAGGTCGTAGACGGAGAGCGAGTGCACTTACTTGGGGAAAGACGTCGGCGGTGAGCTCGGAGTGCACTAACTTGGGGAAAGACGGGCGGTGAGTTCGTAGCGAGTGCGATGAACGAGAGCGAGTGCACTTACTTGGCGGGAAGTACGCTGCCAGTGAGCCGTTGAGCGAGTGGTCGACGGTCGTAGACGGAGAGCGAGTGCACTTACTTGCGGGAAAGACGTCGGCGGGAGCTCGGTGAGCGAGTGGTCGAGGTCGTAGACGGAGAGCGAGGTGCACTTACTTGGGGGAAGACGTCGGCGGTGAGCTCGGTGGCGAGTGGTCCGAGTCGTAGACGGAGAGCGAGTGCACTTACTTGGGGAAAGACGTCGGCGGTGAGCTCGGTGAGCGAGTGGGTCGAGGTGTAGACGGAGAGCGAGTGCACTTACTTGCGGGAAAGACGTCGGCGGTGAGCTCGGTGAGCGAGTGGTCGAGGTCGTAGACGGAGAGCGAATGCACTTACTTGGGGAAAGACGTCGGCGGTGAGCTCGGTGAGCGAGTGGTCGAGGTCGTAGACGGAGAGCGAGTGCACTTACTTGGGGGAAAGACGTCGGCGGTGAGCTCGGTGGCGAGTGGTCGAGGTCGTAGACGGAGAGCGAGTGCACTTACTTGGGGGAAGACGTCGCGGTGAAGCTCGGTGAGCGATGGTCGAGGTCGTAGACGGAGAGCGAGTGCACTTACTTGGGGAAAGACGTCGGCGGTGAGCGCGGTGAGCGAGGTCGTAGCGGAGAACGAGTGCACTTACTTGGGGGAAAGACGCCGGGGCGGTGAGCTCGGTGAGCGAATGTTCGA